TCGCCAATTGCCCTAGAGCCCTCTTAGCAATTTGCCCCTAAACATAGCAGCCCAAAAGAAACACAAATTCACTTACACAGGCTTCCCCCGTAACCTCTTCTTCTTCTTATGCTTGCTCACCTCCTTCCCCACACACCCCGGAATCTCCCACAGATCCCTGTCTCGCCCCGTTTCCTGAGTATACGCCAGCATCCCGTCCCGGTCCGCCGGGTCCACATGAAAGAACATCGGACTGCGCAGCTGCGCGATCTCAAGCGTCCTGAACGCCCGGTGCCACCGCTCCATCCAGCCCGCAGCGGTCCCGTCCAGCACCAGCATCGAGATTCCCCCCCTCCTGCCCGTCGCCTGCGTCTCGTGCCCGTCCACCGACGACGGACTCGAAGACAACGACGGCGGGGAGGAGAGAGACCCTCCGCCGGAGCTATCCGAGGCTGTAGAAGACGAACTCGAGCGTCGACGCAGACGCTGATGCTGACGCTTGTCGTAGCTCTGCCACTTCTCCGCCCGGACGGCATTGAGTTTCTTGCCGTGCGCCTGCACGAGCGCCATCCGTCCGCTATGCTTGTTGATCCAGTGGTAGCGCTGGTGTTCCTCATCGGTGAACATGGCGGAGGGTGTTGCTTCGTTTAGTCTCGCGGCGACGGCGAGGCCGCAGGGTCCGGCGCCGATGATGATTACATCGTGGAGGGTGGGGATGGGAAAGGAGGGGGGAGGCTGCGTCTTGCTCATTGTGTTGGGTTGTTGTATGGCAGATGAAGGTCGGTGAGGCGATGCTGCTTGTGACAAGATGATAGCGATGTGAGGGAATGCCATGATGCTGGCTGCTATTTGCAGTACTCGATGATATATAGCGATGGTGCTGCCACTACCCAGGAGGTACTTGGATCCCAAGGTCCTTGTCTGATCTTCCTGGAGTTGATGATGTGCAGCGCTGCTGGGGACCCTGGGGGAGATAAGCGAGGGTTCTCAGCGCGGATACAGGCGTGACACATCGGTAATGCGGGCTCCTTTACGGACGTGGCTGTCGTTCAATGACCTCTTAAGCTTGACAATCTCGTTGGAAGGATACCTTTTCCTTCGTTGTCGAGCGGACAGAGTCGAGCCGATTATAACTACTGTTAGCGCCGACCCGTGTGCTCAGAAGTATCCAAGTAGAAATTAGATTACTATGACAGTAGTGCTTAAATACAAATATCTAAATCAGACATTACTTGTGCCATTTCTTCTGCTTCGATTCCCCCGCTGCATTTGCCCTGTGGCGCGGCACCCCTCCGCCCTCGCGGCGATGCCAGGCGTCTTGAGGCCACACCCATCCTCGAACTCGCTTCGCGTCTCGTCGCTCTCCGATCTGTGGTTCCGGTATCCATTTATCTTTCCCCTCTGGGAGAATCCGCTGGCGGGTCAGTGCTCCAGGTCCGCCCACGTTGAGGTGAGCAGAGGGCTGGGACGGCAAGGGCACCGATTTAGACAGCATGAGCAGAAAGTACAAGGCCAAGCTCGCAGTCATCGGGACGTTGAGACCGTCCCCGAACCTTGATGTGTGGTCGCATTCTGCTACTGCCGACTGACTGTCGTGAGACTGCTCGGGTGACTGTGCCTGCGCAAAAGAAGCTGGCTGCAGCCCCAGTTCTTCCGGACTCACGGCGATGTTAGTCGGAATTGGCGCCGATACCTCCAGGAATCCAAAATATGGCACGTCGTCTCCTTCGTCGCACCCCGCGCGCACACAAACAAGTTCAATCTCGGTGATGATGAAGCCGTATCGGCATGAGTGCTCTCGCATGCATCGTTGCAGATGGGCTAGACCGTTGAGGTACTCCACCCGCCGGTGAGGCGCTTCGTTGCGCATGCCCGTGTTCCAGCGGTCAAAGCTCTTTACGATACCGACCAGCCGTCCCCGGGGCATACCGGAACAGGTCTGCTCGGTATCAGACGCATAGTTGGCAAGAAAGTGTGGCCCACCTGTATTCTTGCTGTTTGAAGCCCGTAGGTTAGGCGCCGGGTAGAGTTTTAGATGCTCTGGTCCTTGGGATACAGCGAGCGCGGCATTGACACGCGGTCCATAGATGTCTCGTATAAGATTAACTAACGCGGCTTCAGAGTCCGGAGACAGGCGAGACGGGGCTACCGCGACAGGCGGAGTCAAGTCGGAGGAGATTGCAGTTCTCAGAAGCTTGGTGAGGCCATTGATCGAGTTAAACGTCTGAAGCGTGAACGAGGTCCAGCTACGCAGGTTCCTAATGTCCCACCAGAAATAGTCGTGCATCCCTCGTGTGGGAACCACACTGACATTACGAACGAGATTGATCGCTTGCGTGGAGGAGGTCAGGTAGGAGAGCAAGGTAGTCGACTGCGGCACCAGGCCATCGGCATGAGGCGCAATGCCAACAGGCGAAGGCTGCGCACTCGGAACTCGACCATACCCGTATGGGGAGGGTGGAAGAACAAGTGGCGCCTGAGTCTGACACTGGACCGGGGACGGAGAGCCGTCATTGGGCGAGCTCTGAGAGTATGACCGATGGACCACAATGTTTGGCGTCACAGGGGTGACTGGGGCGGATGGCGAAGGGTGCGCTTGCGTGGTGTACTTTGGAAGATGCCGATAGGTCGGATAGCCGTATCGAGTCAGGGTCGCTTCGTCAATACTGGAAACAGAGCCTGATCGAGAATGCCCGCCTGAAACTTTGCGCTTGTGCGACGGCGTAATGCTCACAGGGGACGACAGTGTGGAGCCGTTGTGCGAACCATACATGGGCGAGGTTGAAGCTGGTGACACCAGAGGAAGGCAGTCTGCCATTTCCATGACATTCCGCTGAATGTCTGGACGCCTAGGAGGATAAGGTAGGAAGCCTGGGGGGTTCCGAGTATTGGACAGGACGCGACGATGGCGCTGTGGTCCAGGGACCGGCGCCGGCTCAATCACCACATCCTGCGACCTGATTTTCGGCAGCAGAGCAGGGCCGTGCTGGTATCTGGGAGGAGAGGCTTCTCTCGGACTGGTTTCAGCGGTCATGGCCGACCACGGTGAGGAATCATTGGAGTAGATGGATGAATCAGACGCATTACGACTGTGGGTGGCTCCAATGAGCTCCATCAACTGCAGCCGCGGCGGTGTCGTTGGTTCATAGTAAGAATATTCCAGGGACATAATGTCGATCTTTGGGTCACAGTAGGAACTCAATCACGATTCTTTCTTTCACAACGAATGATCAGCGAGTAGCTATCCGGAAGAACCAGCTTCCTGCGACTCGTCAAAGAGCAATGTCCACCAACGAGGTGATGAAGGGTAGAAGCGAGGGTGTCGAGATGTTCCAATTGAAACGCTAGCACAGTCGAGTCATGTTTTATATGAGCGACAACGATGAGTTCTTGAGGCATCAAGACGGAGAATATTTGGATATTAAATGCTCTTCGTTGAGAAGCCATCCGACCCAGGGCCAAAAAAAGCATACGATGGACAGATCCAGAATAGAATAACCTGAAACATGAAGGAGGCTCCAGATTGACGCCAGTAAGCTAGCCATTCTGGGTGTTGAGAACTGTAGAAGCGAGGGTCTCGAGGCATGATCTGCCGATTATCACTAGGAAGATGCGCGAAACAGACGAGACCATGGGCAAGCAAGGCAAGCATAAGTGTTTCATGTAGCAGTCGCGCGTCAAAATGTTGCTAATTTTTGCATCTGCTCAATTTCTTCAGGATCTGAACAAGATCCTCAATCATTCCCTTCACGGTATGGCTCGAAGGCCTCGTGGAACAAGATCTAAAATCGGCAACACTTGTGTTTCGTGCTATTTCTGGGTAATTGTAGCCAATTTCATGGGAACTTGTCGCAGAGGGATGAGCGTAACGCCTGGGTACTCATCAGTCGGCGGCAAGCAGATGGAGAGCCAGATACAACCGGTGATACTTTCGAGGTGCGTGGCTCGTTGAGGCGCTCGACTCTTCAGAGATCGAAGCGCCGAGAAGCAGCAATTGCGACGGAACGACTGTCTGTGGCACGCAGAGAAGACCAGAGAGCCTCAGCGAGGGAAATCAAAGTGTCCTGGTTTCAGTTCTCCCGTTTCTAAGAATATCCAAGTCGAAGGGATGTCGGTATACATGAGCACTTGAGGTGGTTGCAGTAGGCGCCGGGCCACACTTCAAGGTCGGCGTCAAGCTCGCTGAGTGGCTCATCCCTGACGATGTGCAGTTTAATTGACATGTTCCCATCTGGAATCGGCGAATCAGTGGCCATCAACAAAGAAAAATTAATTCGATTCAGACTGCATTAGGAGATTGGATGAAGGAACGCAGGTGTAAGAGAGGGGAGTGAGGTGCGGTTTGATGGCTTGCCGGTTTGCTGGCTTACTGGGATGCTTGGATGCTCTAAAGTACCTAGTAGTCAGTAAAGGAAAGGCGAACATGACATCAGCGGATTTGGCCGGTCGTTTCCGCACCGGCTCACATAGTTTCATGTTTGCCAACAAATCCCGACTCGACAAACATCATGACTATTCTCTCTCTCTGGCATACTGAACTTGGAAGCGCATACTGGACGAGAACATATCACGTGACTTGTGGGTTGCGAAGAAGCCCTAATCCTATCCTTTATGGAATACCAGGGACGTTCTTATAATGGCCATTTAGATTGTCATCAGGATAAATTGTGATATTTGAGAAGCCATAGCTCAATTAGAATATTAATATCAACAGCAACAGAGCAGCCAAATCACGCCGTTTGATCTGTTCGTGAACCCAATTCCAGTGCTGTTTTGGTTTAAACGCATCTGGATAATATACCCATTTCCCTTCGCTTCCGAAAGAAAAAGCCCAAAAACGATATCAAGGTGAGAATCAGCGCGACAAGCTGCTGCAGGACTCTATCGAGGCGCTGTGACTAAAACAAGGTTATGCTCGAGGGAATCTAATAAACCGTCTAAAAGTCTGATCATGTCCAAGGAGGAAAGGAAGAAAAAAAACAAAAAGAAAAGAAATTGTATCGTCAGGTTTCGGCAACGATCTATGCCTTGATTTCATACTTTCGTCGGAACATGTCGTCAATCTCGGTCAGGTAGTAAGTACCGGGGAAGAGCGTGTCGGTGTTGCCGGTAGGCTTGAAGTTCTTCTTCAAGTGGGCGTGCTCACGCAAATTGCACATCTGAAGATAGGGGTCAGTCAATCTGAGTATCAAGAAAGGGGATTTGATAGCTTCTTACGTCATCATAAGCCTGAGGAGGTAGGACGGTTCTGGCGTTGAGGCGCTTGTGCAAGTCAAGCTTCTCAACCATCCCGGAGACATCACCGACAATCTTGACACTGAACATGGAGCTGGCGAGGCCGCTACCGTACGAGAAGAGGGCGATGCGCTTGGGCTGACTAGGATCGAAGGTGACGTTGCTGAGCAAGCTCGCGAGACCGGCATAGACGGTGGCCGTGTACATGTTACCACACAGGGTGGCAACGTCGAGACCGGGACGCACACGCTCAGCGAAGATTTTCTTGGTCAGACCCATGAAGGTCTTCTCGACGGTCTTGTCGGTGAAAGACTTGTCGTAATCCAAGTCACGCAGTTCAGAAGGCACTTCGGCAAAGGCGGGGTGGCTGGGGTTGGCGAGGTAGTCATTGTAGAGCATGCGGCCATAGGACTTCTGCACCAGCTTGCAGGTTGGGGCGTGGAACAGGATGTAGTCAAAGCGGTCGAGGGGAGTCTTGGTCTCATCCTGGACTCCGTTTGTGCCATTCTGAACCTTGGCCTTGAGCACCTTTTCACGAGCGGCATAGGCCTTGTAGCAAGCATCAACAGCCTCGGTATAGCACCTGAGTGAGAAATGGCCATCAACGACGGGGTATTCGCTAGTGAGATCGGGCTTGAAGAAATCATAAGCGTGGGTGACGTAACTGCCACGGAGACCAGGCTCGAACACAATAGGGGCATCAGGACCGATCAGCATGGCGACGGCACCAGCACCACCAGTGGGGCGGGCAGCTCCCTTGGCATAGAGGGCAATGTCTCCGCAGACAACAATGGCATCTCTGCCGTCCCAGGCAGAAGACTCAACCCAGTTTATGCTGTTGAATACAGCGTTGGTACCACCATAGCAAGCATTGACGGTGTCGACACCCTCAATGTTGGTGTTTCCATGAGGAGCAAACAGCTGCATCAGCACCGACTTAACCGACTTGGACTTGTCAAGAAGGGTCTCTGTGCCGACCTCAAGACGACCGATAGACTTGGGGTCGATGTTGTACTTGCGAAGGAGGGAGGAGCAGGTGGTCAGAGCAATGGAGTAGATGTCTGAGGAGGTGAACAGTTAACATTTCGGGTGTACGAGGAGCAGGGAACTGGCAAGATCATACCCTCACGGTCATCACAGAAGCTCATCTTAGTCTGTCCCAGACCAATTGTGTACTTTCCCTCACTCACTCCATCGAACTTCTCCAACTCCGCCTGGTCGACACACTGGACATGCCATTAGCACTGTTGTGAGCTGGAGATGTTGGGCAGGACAAAGTGCAGGGAAAGTAGACCAACATACCTGACTGGGGAAGTAGACCTCAATGGCCTTGATACCAATGTTCTGGGGACGAGCAGACATGGTGGCGAGGGGGTTGCAAATTGGGAGTATTATGTATGGAGGAAGGAAGGTAAAGGTGAACACTAAAGAGGCAGTCTCTCACGCACAAAAGGGAAGGAGACAATGATTGCGAAGACGGTGAAGCTTAGAGGAGGAGAAGGAGAGGAAGAGAAGGAGGGAGGGCCAGGTGTACCTTTAAAGCAGTAGGCAGGAGGAAGAGAAAGAAGCAATGGCCGACTGATTGCCAGAATCGTCTTACCTTTTTTATTGCTGCTCCTCCCTCCTACCCCCTCCTCCCGTCGAGGGGATTTCTATTCCATTTTCTCAGAGGCAAACCAAAAAAGAATCGGTCCAAATGGGTCCCTCTTCCGTGACTAATCCTATACAGGTTTGGTGCTGTGGATCCACTTCTACTTATGGAGAAGTACGGAGGGATGCCTTAGGCTTCCGCATAGGTAGCTGGGACTGACCTGGCGAATCAGAGTGGAAACTGCGACATTGGAAAGACAAACATTATACATGTAATGACAGGAGTATGTATGCAGAGTCGACATCTATGGCAATTCTCGAGATGGCAGTGCATTGAGAACGAAGAGGGGAAACAACCAAAAAAGAGTTCCGAAAAAAAGGGGCAAGAAATGGAGCAGAGACTTCCCGCTAGCTCAATTATCCCAGATGCTTGTCATCAGTCCTCTCTGACAGCGATGATATTCCGACCAGTATTCCTATACCCTATCTGCATACTTACTATCAAGAGGATGGACAGCGACATACGCACTCACACACCGACTCCTGCAGTTACAAACTTAATTTCTCAAAGAGTATTTCTGGTCAGTTGACCCTTTTCAATAATGAAATTTCTGGAATCAACTTCACTATTACTATTGGGTTTGGCCATGCAGTGGTGAGCAAGGACTGCTCTAGCCGGGGAGTAGTGTACTGATGTTTTCGCAGCACAATAGAGCACAGCTTAATCTCCCAGCAATCATCCTCATGGTTCTGCGGAACCAAGTGGGACAAATTCTTGTGTCTCAATTCCATTACGCCAACAATCATAATCATAATTGGGCAAAAATATTTCTGATGTGTTGCCTGACTTGCCCTGCTGGGGGATCGCATCATGATTGATGTTGTACTCCGTTCAGTCTAGTGTAGTACTACTGATCGTAGATGATTATTATTAGTCCCCCATTACTCCATACTCCTTAATCTGACACTTATTCCATTCCTATCAGAGTCGCGGAGTTTCTACTCTTGATGATTGCCCATCAATCCCATATTGTCAGCGTTATTGTTCTGTAGACGCTGGTGGCCAGACATCTAGCTGCCTGATGATGTAAAATTGTTGTTCCTGCCAAGCCTGAGGACTACGGACGGACGGGATTACCTAGATAGACAGTCTTGAAAAGAGGTCGATCTTAGTATTTATCTCTATCGATCATCTGTCACTAGCCATCGTCTCGGCTGCAACGTTGAAAATTTACATATACTGACTGCTTGGCTCAGATGACAGGTATCCCAATTTCTTACAAATCCAGAAGAAAACGAAGATATTTATCAATCTTAGCTTGTGGCCTACAGAGTATGCTCTCTAGCTTTGACAGTGCGACTCCATATTGCCAGATTGAGATATCACCAGAGATCCAGCACTGAACCATCATCAAGGTATCGTGACACATATGGCATCATCCCCGTTTTCTCATCCTTCTCCTCCTGCACTAACACAGGATCTGGGTGCTTAGGAGTCACTCTCTAGAACCGTCCCTTCTCAAGTGCCACAGGTCTCCTTCGAACATCTCGACGTACTGCTGTACCCGTTCCAATTGAGCGCCTCCAAGAAGAATGTATACTAGATGTAGGAAGTAGTGTTTTTGGCAATTACTAATCCAACACCTCAACCAAAAGGTTCCAATGGTGATTTCACATCACCAGCCCTAGAACATGCTTAATGCTACCACAGCCCTAGTCCTTGCAGCCCCATGACACCCGAATAGCTCACGGGGGTTGTAATCTACTTGGGGAAAGGTGGTACAACGTTTCTGACCCGTACTTTCTTCGAGATTGCGCTTGTGGCAGATGCGTCGACCTACCTCTACCAACTAATGAAGTAGATCTTAGTCATTCTGTTAGTTAACTCTAAGTAAGTACACTTGGGAGCTATCTCTATAAAGAGAGCGAGTGAAATATATAAATCATGGTAGGATTCCTCCCAACGCGAGTAGACAAAGTCGTATACGACAACCATTACATGACAATCATTAAATGACATGCAGTATATGACATAGTATAAGCGGCATAATATATATACTCTTTCAACCAAACTCTCATAATTCCCACCATCGAAATAATCGAAGCCATGACAGATCGAGTGTGCTTAAGAGTTGTGCTTAACAGTTGGCATCATAACAGGCGGTGACAGATGGCTGAATACAGGTGCCTGGGCAGAGAGGTCCGATGCTGTTGAAATATTGGTGCATTGCCATCCAAGGAAGAGCAAAGTCAACATCGATAACATTCACAGGAAAGCTGGCACAGTATATCTTCCTCAAATTGATATTCAAAATTATTTCTCAGTACTCACTCGAATGCCTCCAATCAAAACCTTTCTGCCTGTTTGCGAATACGACGTTGAAAGCGGAGCGTGGGTCTCTTGGCTCTCTCGTACTATCTATATACGTATCTGCTCTGACGCCTGCGCCACACGTCTGACTATCCGTCTGGGGAAGCCAGTCAGTCTCACTCCTTTTCCCGTGAGAGATTATCTAGACTACAGAGTATCTCATCCAAGCTCCATCCACTCTCTCCTCTGTAGATCGATTTCATCCGTTTTTTCTTCGTGCCTAATACTTTCACTTTTATATATCCCCCAAATACAGGGAGTATGTCGCTCACCGTCGCTCCTTTCTCATCCAGATCATGATCCCGCTTACTCCGGCATCCGTGACGCTGTCTAACTTCTACGGCTCCCCCGAGCCACACCCATTCCGCCATGGGCAACGATAAGAAATTTGAATACGAATCACTCCCCATTCCAACCTACGAAGAAGCTATTTCATCCCGTCCAAGCTCCTCCAGATCTCATCTAGGCCCCGATGAAGCCAGCGACGATGCGGAACGACAGGGCTTGCTGCATAATGCCGACAATACCAGTGGTCCCGGCGGTCCCGGCGGCGCACGATCTCGGCCTCATGGATACCAACCGCCAACGGTTGAGTCCGTCCGTAACAGCCTGGACGATCTCGCGTCCTCGGGAACCGATTCCGCTCGGGGGTCGCTCGAGGAGTTGCAGCGGGAACTCGCTCAGATGGATGTGGAGGAAGCAGGGGTGCAATCGTCATCTCGGCGGTCCCGACTGGGGCAGCATTTCTCGAAACGATTCAGCAGCCTGAGCCGGACGCTCTCTGCGATACAGTTTCCTTTTCGCCGCTTCCTGCCAAACTTCCGGTTCACAATTAACCTCGATGGGGCCCGTCCACGCTTCCAAGACAATGGGTGCATTATCCTGCTACGGGTGTTTGGGCTACTATTGGTAGTCACTCTTGTATACGTGTTCTTCTTTTCGAACATCTTCAATCTGAATTCTCGATTCATGATGGGTCAGTCATATAGCGCCGCGTCGGTGCAGAATTTCCTTCAGGGCCACATCAACGAGACAAACATCGCGGAGAATTTGAGAAAGGTGACAAAGTTTCCTCACATGGCTGGTACCGAAGGCAGCTTTGCGCTGGCAGAATGGATTGAACAGGAATTCAAAAATGCGGCACTCGATGAAATTGAAATGGAGGAATTTCAAGTGTACCTCAACTATCCCAACGAAGGCGGAAGGAGGGTGGCGATCGTTGATCCGCCTGCCATGGCCTGGGAGGCTGCGCTCGAAGAGAAGAACGAGCAGACTATGGTTTTCCATGGACATTCGAAATCGGGAAATGTGACCGGCCATTTGGTCTATGCAAACTACGGTTCTCGAGAAGATTTTCAGCTCCTAGCGGACCACGGAATTGACATGAATGGCGCTATCGCACTCGTCCGATATTACGGCTCCGAGACAGATCGTGCCCTAAAGGTCAAGCTTGCGGAGATGGCTGGCGCTGCTGGATGTATCATTTACTCTGACCCGCATGAGGACGGGTTTCGGCAGGGTCCTGCTTTTCCAGACGGACGCTTTATGCCGGATGATGGCGTCCAAAGGGGCGCAGTGAGCTTGATGTCATGGGTTGTCGGGGATGTTCTTTCCCCTGGGTTTGCATCTACTCCTGAAGAGAAGAAACGACTCTCGGTCGAAGAGAGCCCGGGATTGCCGGGTATACCAAGTATCCCGATCGCCTGGCGCGATGCTCAGAGACTCTTGCAGGTTCTCAAGGGTCATGGTACAAAGGTACCTAAGGAGTGGGTCGGAGGTGTTCCCGAGGTGAAGGAGTGGTGGACGGGAGACGGAGGTTCCCCCAAAGTGAACCTGATGAATCTTCTGGACGAAGTGGAACGCCAGCCTATATACAACGTCATTGGGCGCATCGTTGGGTTGGAACAGCCTGAAAAGAAGATCATCGTGGGCAACCACCGCGACTCGTGGTGTCTTGGCAGTGCGGACCCAGGTAGTGGCACTGCGGTCTTCTTAGAGCTTGTTCGCGTCTTTGGTGAACTTCGGACTTTCGGATGGCGTCCACTGAGGACCATTGAGTTCGTCAGCTGGGACGCGGAAGAATACAATATGATCGGTTCGACGGAGCATGTGGAGAAAGCGATCGAAGCACTTCGAGAGAACGCATTTGCTTACCTGAACGTCGACGTTGGGGTGACCGGCAATAGCTTTGATGCCTCCGGATCTCCGTTGTTTCAGCGGATTGTGATGCAGATCCTCGGCCGCATTGCGGATCCCATTACGAACGAGACACTCAAGGACATCTGGGAGAAAGCCCAGAAGGAGTTCGGCCCTCTAGGTTCTGGCAGTGATTATGTAGCGTTCCAGGACATAGCTGGCACCTCAAGTGTGGACTTTGGATTCATTGGCGAGCGTTTCCCCT